AGACAGTTACCACTTTGGCAACGTATACAAACACAGAAATGGTGCTGACGAACTTGGAAACACAATCAGGACAAATGAGATTCAAATTCAGGGTAATAGATTTCTTGCATGCAGCGAGTGAGTATTGATTTACGCCGCTTTAATCAATATTCCTGCAACTTCACGGCGGGCGACACCAGAAATGGGCTTCACACACTGTGCCCATTTGGGGAATCAAACCCAGCCTTTTGGCATGACAAGCGAACGCTGTAACCACTAGGCTACCCTACCACCCTTCTGGCATGTGAGTGAGTGAGGTTAGTTTTACGCCACACTCAGCAATATTCCAGCTATATGGCAGCGGTCTGTAAATAAACGAGTCTGGACCAGACAATCCAGTGATCAACAGCATGAGCATCGATCTGCGCAGTTGGTAACCGTTCTGGCATGTAACACTAAACAGTAAATTGTAACTGCTTAAGACGACCCAGCCACCTGTTTCCTCAGTGCCGCACCCAACACCGCCAAACAGGATATTGTTGGGAACAACTGATGTATCACTACCAGGATACTGCCTATGAAGATCCGGGTTAGAATTGATCTTCATCAACCCAGGCTTGTTGTTGGAGGCGACTAACGGGATCAGGTAGTCAGAGCGAGTGAGTATAGTTTTACGCCACTTTTAGCAATATTCCAGCAATATCACGGTGGGGACACCAGAAATGGGCTTCACGCATTGTACCCATGTGGGAATCACACCCGAGTCTTCAGCGTGACTTGAGCCAGTGCTTAAACCACCAAGCTACCCCTCAGGTGGTCAGACTCACTGATTTGGTTGACACATGTCATCGTATCCCAGTTGCATAGATCGATACTCATGATGTCAAGCGTTAAACTGAATGGTCCAGACTGAATTATTTACAGACCAGTCATATACAGTCCAATCCCGATGAGTCGAATGCCGGTGTCTCGAATATTATGCATAACTCGAAGTACCTGTCCGTCCCTGACCATTCCCTGTTATAGTTGTCATCATTTGAATACCGGTTACACGAAATCGTCTCATAAATACACACGATGACTCGAGAAGGAAATTTGGTCCCATGAGATTCAAACAACAGCAATCTTGTATGCATAAGCCGAAGTCAGTCAATGAGAAGTTGATTGGTGTAGCAAACTGATCCAATTAACAAACCAGCACGACTCACACCTTTCCGCCATTGACAGGTGAGTTCAAAAGTCAGATTAGTGATTTTACGGAAATCACTGTCTGTGCTAGTCAGACTTGAACTGATAAGGTGTCCCTATTAGTGATATGGAAATCATTAGATAAACAAATGCTTAGGCGGAGGAATTAGGACTGGATCATCTTTGTTTCTACCCTCATAGACATACCTATGTCTCGAATACATCGATAAGTCGAATTTATTACTTGGTCCCCAGCGATTCGACTCATCGGGATTTGACTGTAGCTGGAATACGTCAAACAAACAGGATACTCTGGGAATGAATGATATTTCACTGTCACTTGAACATTAGATATTCTCTTGGAAGTTTAGAAAGGTCAGTTTTTCCACTTATTTCTTCCTCACTGATGTAATTCCTCATAAAAATTAACCATTTGTCGACAATATTTCAAAGTTTCACAAAACCCTTTCCAGTTATCTTTACCAGTTGTGTTTCTCCATATATGGACATAGGCATCTGACATGTCAAATACGGTAGTTTAAACAGCTAAACAAAATTAATCAAAGTCATAAAACGAATCAGACAATACCTTCACATCTTGTCAAGCATCATTTCAAAATTCAATACACTTACATTCACATCGTAGCAAGAAAATGTACATTCGCTGTATATTGGAGATAGTATTAATACAATGTTATGCTATTATATAACAAGCAATGGTTTATTTGAAATAACAACATTCTAAAGTACCCAAGTACTATGTCATTCCATAACATTTCAAATATTATTTCAAAACTTTATCCACAAAGAAACATGTGAAATTCAATACAGAATAACTACAAACTTTATGGATAACAACTTCTTTTCTTCGTGAGTGCGACGTTTCGATACAGATTCTTGTATCATTGTAGCATAATACAAGAATCTGTATCGAAACGTTGCACTCACGAATAAAAGAAGTTGTTAGCCATCAAGTTTGTTCTATATTGTACTTCCCAACTTCTAAAATGCCACTCAAAGAAGTTAAATATGAAATTCAGACTATATATGAAATAAGAAATTCATTGATTATCAGAAATGTGACTTTCCCCCAAATTGAATTGCAACAAAGTCAGTTTTACACTGATACGGGATACTATTTTCATGACATAAAACTATCTATTGTTGTGACAAAGTAACTTTATATCTAAAACTAGTAATGATAAGAATTAAAAATTATTTACAAAATACACACTATTTTAGTATAGAAAAACCTCGTAAAAACCATCTATGACTAAAATACATTCAAAACCATCTACAACCGACACTATATAAGGCTTATGTTAGAGAAATGAATACAATCAAAACATCAAGAATAAGGTATTAGATTTTCATCACTTTCTTCAACCGAGTCACAGCATTTTGTTGTACCCTAGTATCTGTCGCCTGTGACGATCCTGGTTAGAACTGGTTTCAGCAACCCCTGCTTGTGAGACAAGCCAGCTAGAGGGATCGAGTGATCAACTTGGTTGATGCATCCCACAGTATCCCAAATGCACATGACATGCTCACAGTGTGCGAAATAGCCACTGGCCCGCTAGTCCGTGGCCAGTAAAAATCCAGTCGGGCCAGTAAATCTCCACAGTCCCTGGCCCGACGGGCTAGTGAATTTCCATGTGGCCATATGTAAATATATCACTCTCTATGACTTCTTAAGTTATAATACACTTTTAATCATTCAAGATTATGGCCTGATAAAAATGTTCATCATATTAGTAGCTAATGATGAAACCCGTATCATGCCGACAATATCTTATTCTCATCTATTTTTGTAATCTTTTGCTTAGTTTCTACATTCAAATTTTGGGCTAGTGAATTATTTTGTGGGCTAGTAACTTTCAGGCATAGTTAGCCCGACCGGCTAGCAAAATATGGAAACTATTTCGCACACTGGATGCTCATGATGTCAATCACTGGATTGTCTGGTCCAGGCTCAATTATTTACAGACTGCCCTTATGTAGCTGAAATACTGCTGAGTATGGCCCAAAACAACACACAAAACAGCATCTGAACAACAGGGCCATGTGGCCTTCTTACCTGTACTGGCGATATACACCTATAAATAATCCAAACATTGCTTTATCTGAATCAAAACCATCCACAGGTAATACCCAGAGGAGGTGAATAAAATATGAAAAATACAACGGCTCTTGTCACCCTCGTTTGTAAACATACTGAAGGGAAGAAATAAGGGAACACCCTTCATGGCAGCGTTCCTTTATTTATTCTCAGATTTCCTATAACAGCGCTATTCAAAGCCAGTGATTAAAATTGGAAAATATTAAAGGAACGCTTGAATGTTCCTGTGTTCCTTTATTTGTTTCTCTCAGTATATTTAGACGAAATCTAATGATCAATTCTGTGGTATTTAGTGATATTTATTTAATCAGATAAACAGCCAGTGAAAATGAAATATTTATGATATCAGATCTTGGTGTTGACAGGCCATGAGCATTGATATTACACATGAATGGATGCTAACTGGCGTGAAAAAATACTCCATGAATTTGTAATGACCTGCAAATCATCCAATATATACAATCCCAAAGCTTACTGACTGAAAGCAAAATATTTGCAAAAGTATTACTTGACTGACTGACTGACTGAGTTTGGTTTTACGCCGCTTTTAGCAATATTCCAGCAACATCACGGCGGGGGACACCAGAAATGGGCTTCACACATTGTACCCATGTGGGGATTCGAACCCGGATTTTCGGCGTGAATATTACTTGAAGATCGTTCAAGCAAAGATCATTCAGAACAGCGTCAAGCTTTATTTAATCATTCCAACCTCATTATTTATGTTCTTAAAACTTCATAAAATAATGGTATTTAGAACATTTCCTTCTAATTGTCATCTAAACTATTTATACAAAATGTACAGCAACCCCAAAATGTAAAAAACCCTAAATTTGTACCTTGTAAATTATTTTTTTAATTGGTTTTGAGTATCACGACATTGAAATAAAAACCCAAAGATAATCACTTCACTTTCGTGAGAATAAATTATTGCTTCTGCACTTTGACAAAAAAGTGACTACTTTTCCTAAATTAGCTATACTTAAGATCTGTGATACACAAAAACAATAGTTACGCCCAACATAACAAATTTTTCAATTTGCAAAGACAATAAATATGGACAGACAATGTGCACAATGTTCTGTGTAATATGAACGTGAGGACATAACATATTAATATAGCCCACGGACTGGAAGGAATGGGTACAAGGACTGTTGTCAGTCAGACTAATACAGCCGGCCATCTTCGAGCTTCACATACACATGACCTTGACACTTCAAGGTCGATTCAAGGTCGAGAATGGAACCGTAAGAAATTGTACATCTGTTGTCCAAATCAGTCTCATACAGGTAGTCATACAGGCAGCCATCTTCAAGTAACCTGACCTTGACCCCTCAAGGTTGAATGAAGGTCAAGGCCGCAGCATGAGAAATTGTACATCGGACGAGGAATTGCAAACGAGACTCATACAGGGAGCCTTCTTTTGAGCTTTCATTTCCTCAGGGCCAGTGTAACACTGAGAAACGGTACACTGCACTTGCAACTCATTCGCACATCTCAGAATGTTTAGGAATCAGTCATGTTTAGATGGGGTGACTTGACCACAATTTGTTTTCTTTGTGGATACCCTACTATTTAGTTCATGTTTCTGTGCTATTATTAACTATTTGTGTTTTGTTTCACAGACCTTTACATTAACCATAAATGCAAATAATAACATGATCAAAATTTTAATTGAATCATATTAATACAAAATGCCAATATTCTGATAGTAAACATCCATGTTCAAATAGGAATGCTGAAGACAGTCGCTTCTATGTTAGGCCCAGAAGCCTTCTATGTTAGGTCCAGAAGCCTTCTATGTTAGGCCCAGAATCCTTCCATTTTAGGCCCAGAAGCCTTCTATGTTAGGCCCAGAACCCTTCCATTTTAGGCCCAGAAGCCTTCTATGTTAGGCCCAGAACCCTTCCATTTTAGGCCCAGAAGCCTTCTATGTTAGGCCCAGAACCCTTCCATTTTAGGCCCAGAAGCCTTCTATGTTAGGCCCAGAACCCTTCTATGTTAGGCCCAGAACCCTTCCATTTTAGGCCCAGAAGCCTTCTATGTTAAGTCCACAACCCTTCTATTTTAGGCCCAGCAGCCTTCTATGCTTGGTCCAGAACCCTTCTATTTTAGGCCCAGCAGCCTTCTATGCTAGGTCCAGAACCCTTCTATTTTAGGCCCAGAAGCCTTCTATGTTAAGTCCAGAAGCCTTCTATGTTAGGCCCATCAGCTAACCACAGTCTCTCCCTCCCTATCCTTAACTCTCCCTTCCCATAGCCCCCCATCCCACCCTATTCCTACCTCCCCCATATCGCCCCACCACTTTAAACAAAAGACTGATTAGGTCTGTCCAAGACATCAACATTGCAATTTCAACAAGGTCAGGTCAACCTGAGGACATGGTCAGGTCAACCTACTGATAAGGTCAGGTCAAACTAAAGACAAGGTCAGGTCAACCTAATGTCAAGGTCAGGTCAACCTACTGACAAGGTCAGGTCAAACTAAAGACAAGGTCAGGTCAACCTAATGTCAAGGTCAGGTCAACCTGATGACAAAACATATGCAACTTCTAAAAGCTGACTCTTGAATCCAAGCTCCAAGTCAGCCAACACCTCCCCCTGGTGGCGAATGAAACACTAGGAGAGACAACCCTGTATGGTCTGACACCAATCCCTGCTTGTGGAAGAGAGAGAAGCTAGCATCCGCAACCCTGCTGCTGTTCGGCTTCCTCTGTTGTGTTTAACCTGTGATTATCAGGCTTGGGGGAATTGGCTGGTGCGTTACCAGCGTTGGCAAGTTCTTCAACCTGCATCTTGAAAATATCTGCAAATTAAAATGCTTTCTGTAATAAATTTGAAAAGTGCCAATCAATCAAATCTTTTATTTCGATATGACACCTGTGCATTAAGATGACAATCCACTGATGACAATCCACTGATGACAGCCCTCAGAAGGTCATACCAGGTGTACATAAAGTAGGGCTGGGACGATTCACTGATGCACTGATACATCACTATACCTTTAAGTTTGATACAGCTACATATCGTCGACTGATGTATCGATACAAAACAATACACGACAATACTTATTTGGAGAAAAATGCGCAAGTATGATAGAGCTACTTGTTTGTTTATTACAGTAGTGTTATTGTTATACACAAATACCTTGAAATATATCATTTTATATCTTAATACAGTGTCAATCTTTCAAGGTGTATGTATCGTGATACGTATCGTATCGCAGGTAAAATATCATGATACGTATTGTATCGTGACATAGTGTATCGTCCAAGCCCTAACAAAGTGAACATTGACCATCCAATATAAATACAGGATTTTCAGCCAATCAGATGGCTGCTGAGTGAGTGAGTGCGTGAGTATGGTTTGACACCGCTTTTAGCAATAGTCCAACAATATCACGGGGGGGGACACCAGAAATGGGCTTCACACGGACTCGTGTCGGGAATCGAACCTGTGTCGTTGGCGTGACTAGCGAATGCTTTAACTACTAGACTACCCCACCGCCCCCAGCTTTAAGAAACAATTCAATCAGTACAATCTTTCAAGTGTAGATGCCATGGTGCTCCGAAACACTGGCTGCATAAAATATGAACAACATAATTATGTATTTTGTGTTTGCATTTGGAATGAGTGAGTGAGTGAGTGAGTTTGGTTTTACGCCACTTTTCGAAATTGGCCTCACAATTGGGTCTTCAGCGTGACGAGCAAACGCTTTCATCACGAGAACGCTTTCATCACGAGAACGCTTTCAACACTGGAACGTTTTCATCACGAGAGCGCTTTCAACACTGGAACGTTTTCATCACGAGAACGCTTTCAACACTGAAACGCTTTCAACACTGGAACGCTTTCATCACGAGAACGCTTTCAACACTGGAACGCTTTCATCACGAGAATGCTTTCAACACGAGAATGCTTTCAACACTGGAACGCTTTCATCACGAGAGCGTTTTCAACACTGGAACGTTTTCATCACGAGAACGCTTTCAACACTGGAACGTTTTCATCACAAGAGCGCCAACACTGGAGCGCTTTCAACACTGGAACAGCTTTCATCACGAGAACACTTTCAACACTGGAGCGCTTTCATCACGAGAACACTTTCAACACTGGAAAGCTTTCATCACGAGAACGCTTTCAACACTGGAACGTTTTCATCACGAGAACACTTTCAACACTGGAACGTTTTCATCACGAGAACGCTTTCAACACTGGAACGCTTTCATCACCGCCCCGTTTGCATTCGGAACTCTGTGATGATATTTGTCTTTGAGACACAGAAATATAATATGCATGTCTAAATGTTTGGATCAATTTGCAAACAAACTGGGATTCTTGACAGTGCCAGGATGATTAGAAGGTTCAAAGAATGTGACATCAAGTCTTAGGAGGGAGGACACTCACATTAATGAGACTGTGAAATATTCATATCTTAAGGCCCTCTTTTCATACTTGGTTTACCGATCCGCAGACCCAAAATGCAAAGAAAGTTGGAAAAATAATAATTGTTTTTGCATTTTATTTTATGTCATTTTATGCCGCCGACCTGACAAAAAACAAAGAAAGTGAAAAAAATAAAAAGTAAAAACTAGCAAATTATACCTTAGCAAATATTCCCTGAAACTATTTTACAAAAGAAGATCACACATATATTCTGGCCCCGATTTCTCGAAACAAACTTAAGTCTGAGTTTTGACTCAAATTTGAGAAAACGCAGGAAAATGCATTTCCCAAAATAAACTGAAATCAATATTAAATTCACACTTAGTAGACAATTTGAGTTTGGTTAATAGATTACCTAAGTTGTTTGGGCTTTTTTTATTTAAAAAATGCAGTTGAGTTAAAAATTCAGCTGTTTCAAATTGTCAAACTCAGTTTGAAATTTGAGTAAAAACTTAAGTTTGTTTCGAGAAATCGGGGCCAGAGCTCATACACAACGGTATACTCAAGTGTGCCAAAACATCTCCACATACCCCCTTTTTTCCCCTCCATACCAACCTAATATATCTTTTTTTGTTAAATCTGTAAACGGAGTAATTAAAAAAAAAGGCCTAACTATAAAAACATTCCTGCATTATACAAACATTGGCACAGAACAAAGAATTTGATGAAAGATATTCTTTTTCATCTACCATTATTGAACTCTGTATTCAGGTACAATGGTAACCGGGTAACCGGGTAACCTAGCCTACTTACCAACAATAAGATTATTAAACGCTTCTCCCACATTGGTAGAATCTAGGGCTGAAGTTTCGATGAAGGAATATCCATTCTTTTCTGAAAAACAAGGACCACAAAAATTACATATTAGTTATTAAAGCATATATGCATATTTCTCGTCTAAATCCATTATTGTCAAATTTGCCTGTACCATGATTCTATTTTAGAAATCTATTATGTTCACTTGTATGGAAAATTTGGTTACTTTTCCATCAGTCGACCTAATCTCGAATCAGTCTCATTAAACACAAATGTATACATTGATAATAAATAGTAAACTAGTCGGAGATCTCTTTCAAAATCCCAAAGATGGCATCCTAAAGACATACGCCAATTAAAAAAATGTCTCTACATTTGGAATCAGACATCAAATTTCAAGTTTCTTGCAATGGCCTGTTCCACACGAATAACAGCAAGGTTACTGTGAGATCAACCAGAAAGTCTTGTGCCAGTAAGGAGCTGGTGCCCCGTCTAAACCAGTAAAGGGACACAACTCAGAACATTTGCAATTACTCGTGTCATTCCTGCAAGCCGGATGCCAACTCGTATCCCCCCTCGTGGCCATGTTCATGACTGGGCCTTGTCTAAGTGCAAAGGGGCACGGAGATGAAAATAGTCTAGTACTATTTCCCAGGAAAGATAACTCTGAATTTCCAAACATGGCTACTCCTAGTATATCCCATATCCCGTCATTCCCTTCGTAAATATGTTTCAGAGTTGAAAGTTGCTGATCCTTTAGCTCAATGTTTTAAGTTTAGATTGTGCTTTGCATAGTTTTCAAAGTTTGACAGTACCTTCATTTTTATGCTTCAAAATGTGTTTTGCTATGCGCGATTTGATTGGTTTACCACGATTCTTGGCAAGGTACGAGTCTTCTTGTAGGTCGCGGAAAGAGGGGACTAGTTACGAATGAACTCTGAAGACAAGAGAAGATGGTCTACCTGCAACTGTCCTGCCTTCCTCCATGGTAACAGCCCGGAGATGTCGCAGGTCGGTCTTGTTGCCGACCAGCATGATGCAGGCCGTGGGGTCCGCATGATCCTTCAGTTCCTGAAACCATTTGTCCAGGTTCTGGAAAGACTGGGGCTTTGTGATGTCATACAGGACCAGCGCCCCTACGGCTCCCCGATAATATCTGGATGAACAGAAGGACAAGAAGGTCAGTAATGGAACGAGGGCAACATGCATAGAGAGAAGGTCGGTAATGTAACGAGGGTAACAGGCATAGAGAGAAGGTGGGTAATGTAACGAGGGCAACATGCATAGAGAGAAGGTCGGTAATGTAACGAGGGTAACAGGCATAGAGAGAAGGTGGGTAATGTAACGAGGGCAATGTACATAGAGAGAAGGTCGGTAATGCATAGAGAGGTCGGTAACGAGGGCAACATGCATAGAGAGAAGGTCGGTAATGTAACGAGGGCAACAGGCATAGAGAGAAGGTGGGTAATGTAACGAGGGTAACAGGCATAGAGAGAAGGTCGGTAATGTAACGAGGGCAATGTACATAGAGAGAAGGTCGGTAATGTAACGAGGGTAACAGGCATAGAGAGAAGGTCGGTAATGTAACGAGGGCAACATGCATAGAGAGAAGGTCGGTAATGTAACGAGGGCAATGTACATAGAGAGAAGGTCGGTAATGTAACGAGGGCAATGTATGCATAGAGAGAAGGTCGGTAATGTAACGAGGGCAATGTACATAGAGAGAAGGTCGGTAATGAAACGAGGGTAACATAGAGAGAAGGTCCGTAATGTAACGAGGGCAATGTGCATAGAGAGAAGGTCGGTAATGTAACGAGGGCAATGTACATAGAGAGAAGGTCGGTAATGCATAGAGAGGTCGGTAATGTAACGAGGGCAATGTACATAGAGAGAAGGTCGGTAATGAAATGAGGGTAACATAGAGAGAAGGTCGGTAATGTAACGAGGGCAACATGCATAGAGAGAAGGTCGGTAATGTAACGAGGGCAATGTACATAGAGAGAAGGTCGGTAATGCATAGAGAGGTCGGTAATGTAACGAGGGCAATGTACATAGAGAGAAGGTCGGTAATGTAACGAGGGCAATGTACATAGAGAGAAGGTCGGTAATGTAACGAGGGCAACATACATAGAGAGAAGGTCGAGTAATGTAACGAGGGCAACATGCATAGAGAGAAGGTCGGTAATGTAACGAGGGCAATGTACATAGAGAGAAGGTCGGTAATGCATAGAGAGGTCGGTAATGTAACGAGGGCAATGTACATAGAGAGAGAGTCGGTAATGAAATGAGGGTAACATAGAGAGAAGGTCGGTAATGTAACGAGGGTAACATGCATAGAGAGAAGGTCGGTAATGTAACGAGGGCAATGTACATAGAGAGAAGGTCGGTAATGTATAAACGAGGGGCAATGTACATAGAGAAGGTCGGTAATGTAACGAGGGCAATGTACATAGAGAGAAGGTCGGTAATGTAACGAGGGCAATGTACATAGAGAGAAGGTCGGTAATGTAACGAGGGCAATGTACATAGAGAGAAGGTCGGTAATGTAACGAGGGCAATGTACATAGAGAGAAGGTCGGTAATGTAACGAGGGCAATGTACATAGAGAGAAGGTCGGTAATGCATAGAGAGGTCGGTAATGTAACGAGGGCAATGTACATAGAGAGAAGGTCGGTAATGTAACGAGGGCAATGTACATAGAGAGAAGGTCGGTAATGCATAGAGAGGGCAACATACAGAGGCAATGAGAGAAGGTCGGTAATGCATAGAGAGGTCGGTAATGTAACGAGGGCAATGTACATAGAGAGAAGGTCGGTAATGTAACGAGGGCAATGTACATAGAGAGAAGGTCGGTAATGTAACGAGGGCAATGTACATAGAGAGAAGGTCGGTAATGTAACGAGGGCAATGTACATAGAGAGAAGGTCGGTAATGTAACGAGGGCAATGTACATAGAGAGAAGGTCGGTAATGCATAGAGAGGTCGGTAATGTAACGAGGGCAATGTACATTGAGAGAAGGTCAGTAATGTAACAAGTGAGAATTAAGCAATGTCTAATACCGGTTCATTGTTATTCCTCAGTTGTTTCTTCAACAATCGAATAATAAATATAGAACGTCAGTGCAAAGGAATACCAGTCTCGACTGTCCTCAGAAAAAGATTCCCTTTGGTGTAAACTCTGGTCTATGATACTATGCATCATCAGAGGGCACCAATCTCTCTACTGTTCGACACTCAGGCACGTCCAAACGACATTGTCTTGTAAACAGCTGGTCCAGTCTAGATAAAATCGTGTCTGGCTAGCCTGACTGGTCCTGTAGATATTTCATGAATGCTGTTTCAAATCACTGTATTTGTTCATTTTCGGGGTTTTACATCTTGCACAGCATCATCTATTATAATGAGCATCATAGAGACTGTTATTGAGCTTATTTAAGGGCAAAAAGACCATAAAAGCTACTCTTTAATGATAAACGTTCTTCAGGAAAATCAAAAGTTAAGGTGTACAGTATTCATAATATACAAGGTGTGAAGCCCATTTCTGGTGTCCCCCGCCATGATGTTGCTGGAATATTGCTAAAAGCGGCGTAAAACCAAACTCAGTCAGTCAGTCAGTATTCATAATGGAAAAAAGAAAACAACAATTATCACATAGTTTTGTGTTTGATAAAGCTTGCTCTTCTAGAAAAGTGCGGTGGGGAAGCCTAGTGGTTAAAGCGTTGGCTCGTCACGCCGAAGACCTGGGTTCGAATCCCCACATGGGTACAATGTGTGAAGCCAATTTTTGGTGTACCCCGCCGTGATGTTGCTGGAATATTGCTAAAAGTGGCGTAAAACCAAACTCAGTCAGTCAGTCAGTCTTCTAGAATACACTATAAACCTGCTGATAACAAAAATAACCTTGTTTTGTCTTCCAACAATGTGGTCTAGTTGATATTAGGTCAGGTCTAGAGACTTACCCACTGGTCTAGTAGTAAAAAATGTTAATGGCGAACATCTTACATCTTTGACAGACTCCAACTTTCGATTTCTTCACCTCAGGAATAATACTGTTAATAAATTGAGTATTATAGTTAGTATTGATATACTCACACGCTAGTGATGGCTCTGTACCGCTCTTGTCCGGCCGTGTCCCAGATTTGTGCCCGTACAGTCTTTCCCTTGATCGTAACATTCCTGAAACACAAATATCTCCATCACACAAGGACCATATTATAATAATAATAATAGGCCATTTATATAGCGCCTTTCCACGTCACAGGGATATGCTCAAAGCGCTCACCACAACATTTTACCCCAGGGTTTAACACGACCTGCAAATGTGCATTCAGTGCGCACAAATGTAGAAAAACAATGAAAAACAATTCAACGCAAAATATTATTCACTGTACCCACAACACATCTTTGACTTTGGTAATTGTTTGGTTGTTTCTTTCAGTAGCTATACCACATGATTTTTTCATATTACAGATAACTGATTATATATAACATTGTCTGATAGCTGGCATTCTACTCGCGGACCGCCATTTTCACCAAAAATATCTTAACTTTCCCACAACATTGCTGGTTTTTGGTGTATTCAAACAAAATTTGGTACAGAGAGTAATTGGAACCCCCGATTTCATTTTTGCCATCAGAATTCACATAAATCTAATGGATTAAGAGTTATTCCAGAAATTCAAGCAAAAAATTGAATGAATAGTGAGTGCCCAAGTAATATGGACCATGACTCCTTGGGAAGTACACTGTCTACAACCCAGGAACTCATACAAAGATCACTCCTAAATATCAATTAAATATAAAACAAACACACTCATACATTTTTCAAACATTTTTATTCTTGAGAACAAATCATCTGACAGTTACTTAAAGTCTGAGTCCAAATCATTTCCATAGGAAAAATATAAATGACAAAAATCTGCAAATATCAAAAGGCACCACTTTGGGATCTGTCTCATATATCTGCTAAGTTTTGTTGAAAGATATTGAACGGTTTTCGAGTTGTGCTCCGGAAACGAAGCCCACCCCTTCCTTTTGAGACTAAGTCCGAATTGTTTCCATAGAAACAGGGAAAAATAAAAATGCCAAAAATCTGCATATAGTAAAAGGCATCTCTTTGGGACCTGCCTCATATATCTGTCAAGTTTGGCTGAAAGATATCAAAAAGTTTTCCAGTTGTGCTCTGGAAATGAAGCCCACCCCTCTCTTTTGAGTCCAAATCGTTTCCATGGAAACCATGAAAAATAAAAATGCCCAAAATATGTAAATAGCAAAAGGCACCACCTTAGGTTTTGTTTTCATATATCTACAAATTTTTGCAGAAAAATATTGAACGGGTTTTGAGTTATGCTCCGGAAACGAAGCCCACCCCATTCTCTTAAGACTAAGTCCAAACCGTTTCCATGGAAACCGAGAAAAATAAAAATGCCAAAAATCTGTAAATAGCAAAAGGCACCACCTTAGGTTCTGTTTGATATATCTACCAAGTTTTGCTGAAAAATATTGAACGGTTTGTGAGTTATGCTCCGGAAACAAAATGACTACGGACGGACGAGCCGTCGACTATATCCCCCGGCATGTAATGCATCACACAAAATTGTCTGTCTCAGCATGAATACAATAAAAGAATAACAATGTTCACAATATTGTCTGTTACTGAGTTTCAGAGCAGTTCCGTGCATCATTTCATCCATCAGTCCATATTATCATTAATATCAATGATTCATTCCAGACTGAAGAAATTATCAAACTTTCAGTTTTCCACATCGTTACTTTACAGGACTCTCATGTTGTCCGTAGGGACCCGTAAACAAATAATTAGGGGTGTCCAGGACATCCATGTTTGTGAGTCGAGGTAAAGCCCTGTTATCCACAATCTATTTGGGAAGATACATGCTTATTATAATATTTTAGAGACATATACCATTACTAGTGGTGTATACGATTAATCGATAGTATCAATGTGTGCATCGTCAACTACGCGATATGAGTGCATCGATACAAAACACATTTAGGCAATATATCAGGATATTTATATCGCGAGGGTCCACGATACATCGATGTATCGCCACAAGAGACGATATGTCCCCATACAACTAAAATACTACCTATTGCATTAGGAATAGGAAGGAGTCTCTTTGAAATTCTTCAAAAATTTTAAAACAAATTGAACCTTATAGGAATTGTTTGTGTCTCTTATCTTTGTTACATGAACAAAGGAGTTGGTGTTTAAGTGAAAGAGTGAACATTTTTCAAACTCTGAGGACTGTAGAATACTTGTCTTCAAGTAACTGAAATATGTTTCAGTTGTTTGACAAATAACCCCATTTATCAACAAGTATGAACGATGTCTTAGCTTTGTTAAGAAAGAGAACAAAGGGGAGATAAAAATTAGAAAGCAGACTTAAGAATTTTTTCAGTGATTCTGAATTCTGAAATAAATTACATTGAATTGTTTGTGAAAAGAAGTGGTGCAGAAACACTTGCCAAGGTAAAGTTCAGTTTCAAACTTATATATGTTAGATCAAGGTATACTGAATATGTTTGACTGTACTTTCTTAAGCATTAAATGCTGAAACTTTATTAGATGAACAGCTTTTCAAGTTCTCCTGTATAACAAATAAAGATTCAGTCATTTTATCTATCATATATGTTCTGTTTTTAGAACCTGTAAAGTATCGGGATACGTACCGTATTGGCACCATTGTATCGTTGATGATAATCGTCTTGCAGGTTCCTTGAACAATACTTTCATGATATATCGTCTAAGCCCATTAAACTGGTATCGGGGATATATCATTTTAAGCCACTTAGGCCCACGATACACAGCTCTAACATAGACCACCAACAAAACATAAAGAAATAGTAATTTGTGTCACCACTTCAAATATCTGTATCAATGTTTCTTGTCAGTTATCAAAAGAGACTGAGACTATTTCAGCTTGTTTTTATTTCTATTCATTCATTTGGGAAATGACTTCAAATGAGACAATTCAAGGAGAGAAAAACTATTGCAATAGTACTGCAATAGTTGGTCGCAATAATAGACTATCGCTATCGCAATAGTTGTTTCCCCTCAATAGTCACCCTTAGTGAGGGATTGGGTAGCCTAGTGGTTAAAGCGTTGGCTCGTCACGCCGAAGACCGGGTTCGATTCCCCACATGGGCACAATGTGTTAAGCCCATTTCTGGTGAACCCTCCCATTGATGTTGCTGAAATATTGCTAAAAGCGCGAAAAACTAAACTCAGTCAGTCAGTCAGTCAGTCACCCTTAGTGAGAAGGGATAAGTTTTAACAATATAGAGTTTGTGTCACTTAACTTTTCCCAAATTCAGATTTAACACACTTCAACAATATGGGTCAATCAGGTGATGAACGCTTACGTTGAAGTTGTTGTCACAAAGGTTACGACAATGTTTTGAAAGAAGATAAGCAGTGTTATGGATTCACGAGGTCTGGTTGCTCTGTAACTGGATAATACACAACACATGGATCAAACTGTCTGTCGTCAAGCTGACCGACTATTTGACAACATTGCAAAGGACAGGGCAGCGTAATATATCTGGGATGGCAACAGGAAAATCAAATTTCAGCTGCAATGTTATTGTGGTTTTATCGGTGGAGGGTTTAGACGATTCAGGAATTGATCAATTTAAAATAAAAACAGCGGAAATCAGCAGAAAATTGCAAGAGTTGTATGTTCCCCAGGAAGCTGAGATTGATAATAAGATGTGCCGTTGAGATTAACATCCACTGATCGCGGGAAAAAATACAAGCGCCTTGAGCATGTACTAGTGTGTGGATATGTGCGCTATATAAATATCCAATAATAAAATAAATAAATAAATAAAATCAATGAAATATGGTTAGCCACTGGTCCTATTATAATTCACTCGCATATTCTATAAATCGAACCATATCCCTTCATGAATTCAATTCATTATCCATGATCACTAGAATCCAATATTTATAATCAAGCAGTGGCTTGTCTTGTGGTTTTTTCAAGTGGGGCAGTGGAGTGGCATAGTGGTTCAAGCCTTCGATCGTCACGCTGAAAGCCCGGGTTCGATTCCCCACATGGGTACAATGTGTGAAGCCCATTTCTGATGTCACCCCCCAACCCGCCTTGATATTGCAGGAATATTGCTAAAAGCGATATAAACCTTATCTCATTTTAGATGCATTTAGAAGCAGGTGGGATGAAGAGGAACACTTCATATGGGTAGACCCTTTCTTTGTTGCAGTAGTAGATCGCGGCGTTTGTGTAGATCCCAACACCATTATCAAGCAAATGATACACAACCTTATACACAAGGAGAAATATATACATGGCGGGTATATGGGTTTATACAATAGAACAACAAGCCTCATTATGTCAACACACCGTATATCAACCTCTTCTATTGTATAAACCCATATACCTGTCATGTATAATACATATATTCAGGGGATAACTGTACTGTGTTTGACGAATTGGGGACGTATACGGTGGTTATAAGCCGCAAATTTAGTTATATCGGCGGCCAGAAGTCGTGAAATTTACGCGTATAGCCCGTAAATTTCATGCGGCTTATAACCACCGATATAGCTAAATTCTTCTAGCGGCCAAACACAGTACAACTTATCCCCATCTAATCAACTCGCTTTACGCTGTTTTTTCGTGGAAAGAAATTCATTATTTAAACCAGGTCAAAGTTCCTCTAGGTCAAAGGTTAATCATATCACTCCTTCAACTTAAACCATCGCCAGAGAAAGTAGTTCCCTTTTCAAACTACACACGTTTTTATGTGCACACAGACTAAATTTGACAATGATGAATAGATCATAGTATTATAGATAAAATGGACGGTATTATGATGAAACCGCCCTCAAAGTTACAGAAATGAGCAGCCCGCTGATTCCTCAACCACGGCCATTATCAGTTCTGTTGTCAAATGATCGATCATAGCAGGTGACGCCACGCCCATAATGACGCCATAAACCTTGTTTCATGATCTAACAGTGTTGGGTCAACAGCCGTTATGCAGTAAGTTGTTTGAACTTAAAATTAATTTATGATACCGCTTTTGTCTTTTTTAACACACATTCCCACCCATTTTAGCTGGATAGGGGGAGTTAATTGACCAATGGCTTCTGCAAATGACAATGTCCTGCTAGAAACAGCTTACCCCAATAGTGTAGGGATACATTCAAAGGTTTAGGTGAATCGGTTTTCAAATTGCTAACCGTGATATGCTGATTATACGGTCAGAAATTTATAGCATTGACCAATCAGAACTCGTGGTGACATACTAAGTTGAATTAGAATTCTCCTTGTGCACATTGTGTATCATTTGTTTGATAACGGTGTTAGGATCTACATCAAACAACACATCTACTTAACAAAGAAAATATATAAAGTGTTTCTCTTAAAACTAAACTCACTCACTTATTTTTTCACGCTGTATTGCTTTTCTGAATAATAAATATCATTTAAATGTTTCAACTTAAGCAAGTACATTACACATTTGTTATTCTTACTCCAAGATATTAACCATAAAGTAATCATGAATATGTATTATTAGAATAAATACTATATAATCGTAAAACATATTTTCGCTTTTTAGCAGAGATTTACAATGAATCCTGTGTTTGAGGGTCCCTGGGACTCATACTCGTCATTTTCAGGGGTCCTGGACTACAAAATGGGGGTCCCAGACACTTAAATATTATTATTAATACTATGTTGTGATACTTTCGTAATTCAGTTACTGTTCTTGCATTGTGTATCATGATCATGACATTATTACAGCAATTAAATTGCAAATGATACCATAACCCGGCTAGTAGCAGACTCATTGATTACTTATTGTTACTGGATCGAAATATTTACAAAAAGTATTTCGATTTTTTCTGCATCCATGTGGACGCGCTAATAAATTTCATTGCGTCCATTGTCAATGTTTATGCGTATAGGACTTACAGGAATTCATACACGTCTCCGTAAATCCCTGTCATATAGTGTTTTTCGTTGCTGCCCTATTGGCCAGTGTTTTCACTACCTGATCCACTTACGTAACTAGACACTGTACATACACAAATAGTCTCATGGTAAATCACACTGTTTCATGGCTCATTGGTTCACTGTTGTTCAATCAGTGTTACAACATTCATTCTGTTCTAGTAAAGCTCTTAAAACATTTTATGGACTGACTAGCGGACTGACTGAATTGAATTTCTCCCTTCTTTCTAGCAATCAGAAAATTCCAGCAACATCAACTTGACTAACACAAGCAAATGGGCTTCAAACATCCCCATGTACCGGGACTTGTGTTGATGTTAACACAATCGATTTAATGGCTAGCTTGTCCGCTGTCAACGAGGGAAGCATGGACTACGCCACTGATCGCCATAACATGACTGAGTTCTGTCTAGAAGAAACACATGCCAGGGGAAGAGGTTTAACCACTAGACTACCCCACACATTAAAGGCATCTCCAAATTTCCTAATCAGTGACTCCTAATTTGGATTTTTCCCCCTGATGTTAATCTGATTTTTGTCAATTTTGAACAACATGAACTTGTGTTTGTGATGGGAGGTTCTGGTTATGACAGAATCTATTCATCTTTCCACAAACACATGCTTACGATATATTGGTAGCAGGAATCATGGGTTTTTCAAAGATTAATGGGTAGGAGGCTTGGAGATTTTGCAAATGTTTTCAATGACTTTGCAAGACTAATATATTTGGATGGGCAACTCTACTGGCAAACAAGGGTAAGTTGAACTGGCACAGAGAACCTTTTGGTTTCGGCAATGAGGAAAAGGTAGAGCAGATGTAGGCCAGTGCATGTGCATTGCATGACGATTATAATTGATTCCACGCGTAGCTTCACATGCCTTGCTCATAAAACTCTCAGGTCGGTGTAGCATGTAACACTACACTTGATCGCGGACAACCTGGGGCCCCTTCGCTAACAATGGCAAGCACCAGTGGGCGGCACTCATACATGCTAATACGGGTCAATTGTTAGGTCAGTGCTCAACTTATCCTTGTTTGCCAGTAGGTATTGCGATATAGGAGGATTGCATTCTCCACACAATTTCTTGTCACCGAACACTGCTGAAAGAGGGAGCTAACAATCCAATAATTTTGTTTTCTGTCAGCGGTCATTTCTTGACATAGTCCAGCATGTCTATCAAACATTTATTTCTTTGGTATAACCTGTGGCAAAACTATTCTTCATTTCAGTATTTTCTTGTCATCAGTGATGTGCCTACCTTGTTGCAAACTCCACTCCTATTGTGCTCTTGCTCTCCGCATTGAACTCGTTCCTGGTGAACCGAGATAGTAGATTAGTCTTTCCCACTCCACTGTCTCCAACCAGAACAACTGAAAAACATGATGAACGAACATCTCAAACACACGGCAGCATTGCAACAAAACAAGGCAACATGACAACAGATCAACTGCAACACATGACAACAGCAACACTTGGCAACAACAAGACAACAGACCAACTGCTACACATGACAACAACAACACTTGGCAACACATGACAACAGACCAACTGCTACACATGACAACAGCAACACTTGGCAACACATGACAACAGACCAACTGCTACACATGACAACAGCAACACAACAACAGACCAACAGCAGCACAGGACAACAGCAACACAACAACAGACCAACTGCAACACATGACAACAGACCAACTGCAGCACAGGACAACAGCAACAGGACAACAGACCAACTGCTGCAACACATGACAACAGATCAACTGCAACATAGGACAACAGCAACAGGACAACAGACCAACTGCAACACAGGACAACTGCAACACAACAACAGACCAACTGCAACACAGGACAACAGCAACATGACAACAGGCCAACTGCAACATAGTACAACAGATCAACTGCAGCACAGGACAACAGCAACATGACAACAGACCAACTGCAACAACACAGGACAACTGCAACACAACAACAGACCAACTGCAACACAGGACAACAGCAACATGACAACAGACCAACTGCAACACAGGACAACAGAACAACTGCAACACAGGACAACAGACCAACTGCAACAGGACAACAGCAACATGACAACAGATGAACTGACAACTCACCAACTGCAACACAGGACAACAGCAACATGACAACAGACCAACTGCAACACAGGACAACTGCAACACAACAACAGACCAACTGCAACACAGGACAACAGAACAACTGCAAAACAGGACAACAGCAACATGACAACAGACCAACTGCAACACAGGACAACAGAACAGCGACAAACTGACAACAGAACAACTGCAACAACAGGACAGCTGCAACTACATGACAACAGACCAACTGCAACACAGGACACAGAACAACTGCAACACAGGACAACAGCAACATGACAACAGCAACTGCAACACAGGACAACTGCAACACAGGACAACAGCAACATGCAACACAGGACAACTGCAACACATGACAACAGGACAACTGCAACACAGGACAACAGAACAACTGCAACACAGGACAACTGCAACATGACAACAGACCAACTGCAACACAGGACAACAGAACAACTACAACACAGGACAACAAAGCAACACGACAACAGACCAACTGCAACACAGGACAACAGCAACATGACAACAGACCAACTGCAACACAGGACAACAGAACAACTGCAACACAGGACAACAGCAACACAACAACAGACCAACTGCAACACAGGACAACAGCAACATGACAACAGACCAACTGCAACACAGGACAACTGCAACACAACAACAGACCAACTGCAACACAGGACAACAGAACAACTGCAACACAGGACAACAGCAACATGACAACAGACCAACTGCAACACAGGACAACTGCAACACAACAACAGACCAACTGCAACACAGGACAACTGCAACATGACAACAGACCAACTGCAACACAGGACAACAGCAACATGACAACAGACCAACTGCAACACAGGACAACAGAACAACTACAACACAGGACAACAGCAACATGACAACAGACCAACTGCAACACAGGACAACAGCAACATGACAACAGACCAACTGCAACACAGGACAACAGAACAACTGCAACACAGGACAACAGCAACATGACAACAGACCAACTGCAACACAGGACAACTGCAACACAACAACAGACCAACTGCAACACAGGACAACAGCAACATGACAACAGACCAACTGCAACATAGGACAACAGATCAACTGCAGCAAGGGACAGGACAACAGCAACATGACAACAGACCAACTGCAACACAGGACAACTGCAACACAACAACAGACCAACTGCAACACAGGACAACAGCAACACAACAACAGACCAACTGCAACACAGGACAACAGAACAACTACAACACAGGACAACAGCAACATGACAACAGACCAACTGCAACACAGGACAACTGCAACATGACAACAGACCAACTGCAACACAGGACAACAGACAAACAACACAGGACAACAGCAACATGACAACAGACCAACTGCAACACAGGACAACAGATCAACTGCAACATGGGACAACAGTAAGATGACAACAGAACAACTGCAACCCAACAACAGACCAATTGCAACAAAGGACAACAACAGAACAACTGCTACACAGGACAACAGCAACATGACAACAGAACAACTGCAACCCAACAACAGAACTGCAAGCAGGACAACAGACCAACTGCAACACAGGACAACAGCAGCGACATGACAACAGAACAACTGCAACACAGGACAACTGCAACATAACAGAACAACAGCAACAGCAACAGACCAACTGCAACACAGGACAAGAGCAACATGACAACAGACCAACTGCAACACAGGACAACAGAACTGCAACACTTAGCAACAGCAAAACAAAGCAACATGACAACAGAATGGTTGCAACACATGGCAACACATGACAACAGAACAACTGAAACATGGCAACAACAAATGCATCACATGACAGAATAAATGTGTCACATGGCAACAGAACATCTCATGGACACTCATAGTCATAGCCCACTGAGACACCATGCTTCAAGTTCCACTCTCAGGACAGACATTCCATTGATTGCACCCAATGAAAAGTTGTAAACAAATACAAAAATTACAGTAACAGATCATAGAGATTGATAATCAATTACCATGTCAGCTGAAATATTGTTCAATAAGAAAAAAGTCCAAAAGAAATCAACATATATCACTTAACTGGTGAGTGTTGACACATCTACACATGGATTACTGACAAAAACAGCATTCTGAACATAATTACAAAGCGGCCCATGCACAAAGGCACAACTGTGTGTATATTGTGTGTGTAAATTAAAACTTAATTTAAATCACAGTTGTTTATGTAACGTATCATTGATGACACAATTTTCATTATTGATAAACTGTAGAATGAATCTTCCCATCGGCAACACCTAAGGTGATCTATCATTTTAGCCATTCCTGGTGGACGCCAGTAATAGGCTTCACACACTGTACACATGTAGGGAATGGAACCAAGGCCTTTGTTGAGACAAGGAAACAAGTTATTTTTGTTATTGGACTTTCCACCACTCCATTAACTAAAAGAAGTGACGCAGCTTGTATTGAATTATTGAGCTAAACATGAAAGTTGAAACTGATTTCACATTGTTGTTTACAATTACACATATTTTTGGTGAGTTAATGATCATAATAAATGTCTATGAAACTGGGTTGTTTTTTAGATATTTCTATATTTCATAACTGACATCAATATGAGTAATAAATGTGAAACCGATATGCACAAAAATATTGAAGTTGCCCAAACACTTTCAATTGCCTATCAACATGATTAATGGTAGGACCAGAGTGTCATGGAAAAATCTACATGACAACCTCTTCGTACCCAAACTTTCCAGTGGTCAGTATTTGTACACTGATACAGTTGAGCATTGTCACTGGTAATGAAGATGAACACATCGATCATGATAACATTCTATTAACAGTTGTCATGGTAATAATGAACTCTTTGGTAATTTTAAGTCTCATCTGACTCAGTATCTACAAATATATCAACATAGTACTTGATAAGTCTTCATTCGTTACCTTTCCAAATGTAATCATAATGCTCATCTTGAGCTGAAGAGTTCATTGCGCTGGCCATACTTGGTACAAGCTTCGGTTATGATGTCACATCAAATCAGGAAATAACGTCTCAATCAAAACGTCCAATAATGAGTTTCTTGGAAATCAAGTCCACGTTTGCAATCTGTGAATCATTCTGAAAAAGAACCAACCTTGTCATTCTACATAATACAAAGTAAATGCAAAATATTTACACGGACAGACGTGAGGGCAATGGTTGTTATTGTTGTCTGTCGTGGGAAAACATAGTACGACATTGGACCCGAGAATCTGGGGCTCCTGTTGATCTTTGCTTGTGGCAGGGATTTGAATGCGATCGTCGATTAAAAGTACGTAATTGTCACTTACTGCTGATGACGTAGTACAGTGATGACATTAGACTTAGCAACATACACTGGCTGGGTAAAAGATGGCACATTTATTTGAGTTTTATGAGAAATGGGCACGGAAGTCGCACACTCACCTGTCACAACTATTAATAGAACAGCTTTTTCAGTTTGGTTTCGTATTTGATGTGTATTTTGACTTCTCTGAGCTGATTCTGTTCCCAAACATAAAAAATATACAATATGATAACAAAATAGTATTTATGTCTTGTCAAGTCGATATTGGATATCTAAAGCTACTTCATTTCATGCGAAACTGTGAAAACCAAAACAGGTGCGTGGGCCTCAATAAACCAGCGTGGCAGTTTTGCAGAGTCGAGGCTGGTTAAACGGGTTAAATGGTGACATCACCCAAAACAACGTGAATGCTCGGGTCAGTTGGCAAATAGTCTACATAGTAGGCTAACACATGAAATATATTTGTGTCTGTCACTATGACCAATGTTGTTATTAACAAAAATTGATATTTTAATAATTTAATATTTTATGTTGACCCAATAAAGTCCAATTATTTTATTTAAATATCCTCTTTATTTTGGTTGTTTATGCCCTGAAATCGTCTCTGATTCCGATTTCGTTTTCTATTTATTCATTTAAAAAAAAACCTTTCCGATATCCGAATGATTTACACTTTCCAACATTGGTTATCATTTGTTTTATGCAAAGGCAGGGACCATGTACACCCACTAAATATATTGAACAATGATCATTTCTTATGTCGCCGCCATAAAGCTGGAATATTTCTGAGTGCGGCGTAAAACTAAACTCATTCACTCTTATGCTTACCTGTTCTATGTCAACAAAATTACCCATGAGAAAAAAGGCAGAGGTACTAAGCATTCCAAACGCATCTAAGCAAACATTATTTATTTATTTGAATAAGTTTGTTTTTGTTTGTGTGTTTGTTGTTGTTTAGGGGTTGTCGGCTTTTTTCTTTGTTTATTTTCGGGGGAAGTGAGGTTGGGGGACGCATGACTATGACGGCGGTCTGTGTTGAATCGACTCTGAATCAGGCAATCGTGTGATTGATATAATGAGCAACAATCGATGAAGGATGACACCCTAAAATCATTCATTTCAGCAAGCCTGACCACCAGATTCGTTCAGTCGCCAACAGTGTTTGCTGATGGCCTGTTGCCATGCGAGTCCCTACTAACAGTGAATAATACATTACAGTCAATCGCCACCATTCGCCCCTTTCCGTAACCTCCAAGAAGACGGGATTCGGCTTTATCCCGGAAATACAGGAGTGGGTCACGAATGCCGATACAGTATACGTCGCTAAAGGGCCACCACGCGCTAACAGCACATGACTTGCTGGGCATGGAATTCTGCCCCAGCATCGTGTCTTTATACTATTTGCACATATGGTTTTGTATTCATGTGAACAACGCAAGTGATTATTAACTTGAGAATGAATGAATAATGATGAAATGAATTTTAAGTGTTTCTGTCTACATCCTATAGGATTGTGCGGTAACAATGTACAGCGTGATGATTGTTTTTCTCTATAGTTCCAATTGTGTGGATGGACAGATGAATGGATCTTTCTTCTTGGAACAGGGATACACATAACACAAATATCTCAATTTGTTTTGCATGTAGATCAGATAAAAATTCTATGGTTTCATAAAGTCACAGATTAGCTACCGTGTACATTAACCAGGAGACCAACGTTTGTTTTGTAAAATAACTAATTCAGAAGCAAAAGAACTGTGCAATACCTACAAACCCCTTTCCCTCTCCAATATATCAGTTTCCAAATCCCCGATGACGTTTCAATTCCAAAATTCCCAATCTCTAAGCCTATCCCCAACCCCCATATTCCATGACCACTCCCTAATCTTACATGCCTATATTTCCCTAATTTACCAGATCCCAATTCTACTAACTATGCAATGCCTCAAGTCCGAAGTTCAGTTCCGAAACCCTTCTAGTTTTCCCATGTACCAAGTCCATTTCCAAAACCAACTCGTTCTCCAGTGTACCAAGTCCATTTCCAATTGCCTACTCGTTCTCCCATGTACCAAGTCCATTTCCCATCCCCACTCGTTCTCCCATGTACCAAATCCATTTCCAAAACCAACTCGTTCCCACATGTACCAAGTCCATTTCCAATTGCCTACTCGCTCATCCATGTACCAAGTCCATTTGCCATCCCCACTCGTTCTCCCATGTACCAAGTCCATTTCCCCGACCTTATTCGTTCTCCCATATACCAATTTAAGTCCATTTCCATTTGCCTACTCGTTCACCCATGTACGAAGTCCATTTCAAGCCCAACTCCTTCACCGATGTAGCAAGGGAGCGATTCCGGGATGGATCTGGTCCCAGCAACCTCTGATTGTCGTCACACGTGAAGATCCGGGTTACAATTGATCTTCAGCACCCCATGCTTGTCGTAAGAGGCGACCATATAACGGGAATGGGTGGTCAAGCTCGCTGACTTCGTAAAACTAAACTCACTCACTCTGATTGTCGTGTAGTGAGTGAGTTTAGTTTTACTCCGCACTCAGCAATATTCCAGCAATATGGTGGCGGTCTGTAAATAATCGAGTCAGGACCAGACAATCCAGTGATCAACAACATGAGCATCGATCTGTGCAATTGGGAACCGATGACATGCGTGAACCAAGCCAGCGAGCCTGACCACCCGATCCAGTTAGTCACATTTTACGACAAGCATGGGTTACTGAAGCTTCATTCTAACCCGGACCGGATTGTCGTGTAAGAGGAGACTGAACGGATCGGATGGTCAGGCTCGAAGATTTGATTGCATGCCATCTTCCCAACTAGCTAAGATACATAGCGTTCACTGACATGTGAACGCTATGTATCTTAGCTACTTCCCAACTTGCGTAGATCGATGTTCATGACGTCACCCACTAGCCGGTTTGTCTGGTTCAGACTCGATTACTCACTTAACGCCGTCATACAGCTGGAATATTGCCAAGTGCGTCTTTAAACAACAAACAAGCAAGCAAATAACCAATTTGTTTTGGCCTAATGTTTATGAGTCTATACTTAGCTCAGACTGTCACCCACCAAGTAGCTTCTTCCACGATGAATTAGAGTACATTCTCGCCATAAGTGACCTAATTTCGGACAATAACTTGCGATGTTGTCTGTGACAACATATCTGATACAAAGTTCCCTACATCCGCGAATCATGGGGGACACTAAATACCACGCCGTCTGTTTGATCCTAATGTCAACATACAGGTTGTGCTTCATATATATCAAACACCACCGTCCCTATCCCCACAGTTTAATCTGGTCAGGTGTTGTTTGTCCCCGAAGTCTAGCTGTTTGCTCTGCGGAGTTGAAACAGTGTGATATTCATGTTATTCCTAACGTTACACAGATTGCAGAAGGGCGCTCTACCGTAACACGGCGTTACCACTGTCGGCCATGTTTACTCAGTGGTTTCAGAACAAAGAAGTTGAGTGAGTATGGTTTAACGCCGTGTGCAACACAGTTTGAGTCAGTGAGTGAGTTTAGCTTTATGTCACTTTTAGCAATATTCCACCAATATCACAGCGGGGGGACACCAGAAATTGGTTTCACACATTGTACCCATGTGGGGAATGGAACCCGGGCCTTCGGCGTGACGAGCGAACGCGTTTACCACTGGGCCACCTCACTGCCCCAAACACGCAGTTTGAGGGAGTGAATAAGTGAGGGTTTAACGGCGCTTTTAAACATATTCCTGAAACATCAGATACGGGCACCATAAAAAGGCTTCACAAATTGTACCCATGTGGGGAATCGAACATTTGGTGTGACGAGCGAACGCTTTAATCTTTAGGCTTCACCACCGCCCCCCGTTGTTAGGCATCGAGCCCTGACTTTCTGTGTGACGAGCGAAGGCTTGAACTACAAGGCCACCCCAAAATATGTGAATACAAATAACAGACAGATAGACAGATATTTTATTTAAGTCTCACCTCATGTAAAAGTACAGATATATACACACATACACATAAAATGAGCCACCCTTTAAGGGTTATGAGAGACTATTACATAGAAGTGGCATATATGATAAAAGTAACAATATGAAATTAGCAATATAAAAGATGTTTTCTTCTTTGAAGTATATAAAAGCAGGTTTTGGCTGTAACATGTTCTTTAAATAGTAAAATCATTTTTTTCATTATCACATAGATCTAGGTAGTTGGGATAGCTGAAACACATATGGCCATATAAACTTTCACGTAGATCGTCGTACAGCGGACATTCCAACAGTACATGACGTTCATCCTCAATCTTATCACTGCATTGAGAACACACCCTTTTATTTACATTTATATTTGAATATCTACCTGTTTCCAACTTTAGAGGTGCAGTACCGGATCTAGGAGCGCGGCATTTGTATACTTACATAGCTTTCGCAACCATAGAAACTTTTAAACATTCTATCTGCCTTCTTGTTTATACAATGCTTCATACCACTCAGACATATACTTTCCCATACAAGTAACCTGTACCCGCTCACATACATTCTTCACACTCACACCCTCTTCAATATTCAGGCCCCATTCTTTAAGTTTGGCTTTCACACGGTAGTTCCAATTTCTTACACGTCCACCCGTGCACTCATCCGACCATAACAGTAATGTACCCGTGAAGATCCGGGTTAGATTTGATCTTCAGCATCCCACGCTTGTCATAAGAGGCGACTAACGGGATCGGGTGGTCAGGCTCGCTGACTTGGTTGACACATGTCATCGGTTCCCAATTGCGTAGATCGATGCTCATGCTGTTTATTAGTGGATTGTCTGGTGATTGTTGTGACGTGACGTTGTGATATGTCATTTTCACGTCAACATAAGGTTAAATTTATTTGATGCTAACGTATTTAATGTTGTCTTAACGTTCTATTTAACGTTCTGTTTAACGTTAATAGTTGAATAGTTTTCCCAGCAGTAAACAGTACATAAAAAACAAATCAGAAATTCACTTCAATGTTTATTTGTCAAATTGCATGTTGTTTTGGTCGTGTGTTTTCTGAAGCTGTAGCTGAATAGTGAAGAAAGAATCTCAAAGTGAAAAGTTTTACAGAAAACTCTATCGTGACA